TATATATAATCAAATAACCTGATTGTGTAATGAAAATGCAAAACGATGTTGAAGAAATTGTTGCCCGTTCAGAGGGAGATAAATATTTAGTGCTTCCGATTTAGTATTGTAAATATATTTATTACATTTTAAATCCAAGAATTGTACCTTAATTCACTTGTGGTTTCCGTTTTTGATGGCTTATGCAGGTCAGCAGGGAAATATCTGTGGTCACTGTGTGTAGAAGTCCCTGTGAGTTATAAGAGCGGATCATATGCGGTTATAATGGGCTTGATATTGTGGCCAGAACATTTCCCTGAACACCGCCTTAGACCAGTGACACTAAACTCAGGAGTTAAATCTTAAAACTGCATTCAAGTACTCAAAATATTAACAAAAATGTAGCTTAGTTGTGTAGATCCTCAAATCACCTCTGAATTGGTGCCAACACTGTCCTTCCTTCTGGAGAGTGGCTACTTTTTTTGTGTGTGTGTTGTAAAGTAGTCACCGCTCCAAGCTCACTCCTGTGATGGAATAAAATCTCATTCAGTTTACTAATTTGTATTGAGGTTGTAGTCCATGACGGGAGCGAGCTTTAGCTATTTTACTTTGAGGATGAAGAAATAAGCTACATTTTGTTAATAGTTGAATGCATTTTTAAGATTTAGTGTCATTTTAAGATGGCACTTCCGGAAAAAAACACTAGACAATCTAGATAAAATAGCATTTTCTCAAAGGCTACAATTCCGTTTTTGGCATTTTAGGTTGATTTTAATGTGAATATCTAAATCCAAATTTTGTTTTGGACAGACCCCTGATATCAGATGGGAGTTGTTTGAAAGAGAGGTCTTATGGAGACATCTGTTGGTGTTTTTGGAAACTACAATATTTCTCACCATGTGAGCAAACAATTGCCCATTCCCTCAGTGAAATCCCTGGGGGAACACAGTAGTCCAGGCCAAGTTCCACCAGGGAGCAGCTCTTACCCCTTGTGGGAAGCCACACCTGCTTTAAGGCTTTCTTCATTTTAAACATTTTGGCATGTATCCCACCTCCTCTTTCCCAAGTCAGACTACAGCTCCTTTAACCAAGATATGTAATCCTTTAGCTCTTTATTTACAGGGATGAGTTGAATCTGCATATACCAGGTGACTTTAAGCTACCTCGCAGCTCTGGGCTCTTGTTTGACATTGAACCTACCACAGATAACAGAAAGTGATTTTTCTAAAAAAAAAATTTATATCTGAATGCTCTCATTAGTAGTAATGAGCCGAACACCCCCGTGTTCGGTTCGAATTCGAACATGGGAAAAGTTCAAATTCGAACTCAATGCAAGTCCCCATTTTGAAGCCTTATATGTAATTTATTGGTCATTAAAAAGGGCATGGGGATCCAGGTACTGCCCTGAGGGAATCAATGAAAAAAAAAAATCTTTTCAAAAATACCGTTTTTAAATGAGCAGTGATTTTAACATCACTTAAAGGGTACCAATAAAAAAAAATTCCTTTAAATATCGTGCCTTGGGGGTCCCCTTAAACTGCCTGTAAAGTGGCAAATCTGTACAATGTATAGAACCTGCTGCAGCAAAACTGACATTTCTAAAGAAAACAAATTTTTTTTTTAAAAAGCGTGCGATTTCCCCTCCCAAACAATACCAGAACCTTTAGGTCTAGAAGGAATGTTAGGAGGGACCCTATTTTTTTAAGTGTGGCGTTCCCAACAAAAGTCATACCAGACCCCATATAATAATAATAATAAAAAAAAAGGTGTGTGGGCCCCCAGCCCGTAATACCAAGCAACATGCACTCGGAAGGTGGTTTTCCAGGGTCGCCCCTGGAAAAACACCTTGTCCCTGTTCCGATGGGGACAAAGGCCTCTTCCCCACAAGCCCTGGGGCGTTGGTTGTGGGGGTGCGGGCAAGGGGCTTATTCACATCAGGGCACCCCTTTAATAAAGGGTTAAAAAATTGAAATAAAAAAAAAAAAGACTTTTGGGGAAAAATCCTTTATTTGAAGAAAAGAAAAAAAACAAGTTTTTGACAAGTCTGTTATAAAAAAATATATATAAAAAAAGGATCCACCGATGGGACGCCGAGACGAACACCCACCGCTGAATGGCATTTTGACAGATGCTGGCAACTTATAAACAATTGGGCGGTGCCAACAGTGACAGCTAGCTCCGCCCAACTGTTTACAGTTGTACGGCATCTGACAGGTGAGCCATGATTGGGCAGTCATCATGACTTTCACAGTTCTCTGTGCCCTGATTGGTCAAAGTCTTGCACCTGACCTGTGGTCAGATGCAAGGCTTTAGCCAATCAGGGCTCACAAGCCACAGTGCCTTGTACGGGGCGCTCGGCGGCCGAATAGCCCACCGAACGCCCTGACAGTTTGTGTGTTCACCAAACACATGAACTGCCGATGTTCAAGTCGAACTCACGATCGGCTCGAACATCGAGCCCATCACTACTCATTAGTAATGAAAAAATGTGTCTTTGTAAAGGAGCTACCATAGTGTAAACGCTGTTACATTTCTGTCCGGGCTCGTCAGCAAGTGATGCAGACATTTTCTTAAAGGTCAGAATTGCAACAGCAAATGCTGTTAACGGTGCGTTTCTGTTAAAACATGTGGCAGCTAACTTTTCATGTGCTGCTTGGTTAACCTTCCTTAGTGATCCTCACTCTTAGTCTGTTGATGCTCAGATTGTTGCTTCAGAACAGGAAAGTCCCTGAACGGGGAAGGGGCGCGGCAAGTGTGATTTTTGATCAGAAATGTTTGCTGCCGCCGAGAACCCTCTTTTTATTCTAGCTCAAATAGCCCATCAAGCACAGACCAATGTAGATTTCGATAATCTTTTGTTAGCAACTAACTCACCGAATTTGGTCGAGCGACAGAAAGGATTTTTGTTTGCGCATGTGCAGTGTTCTTGCTGCGATTTATTTCGTATGAAAATGCCACTAATCCATCTATTTTCTTACAATTCGAAAACAGTTTTCCGATCGAGGAAATTCGGCCAGAAGTACAGTAATTAAAATCCTTGGTGTCTTATCAACTGAACGATTATCATGCGAAAGACCATTCGTGGACAATTTCCGAATGAAAGTTGATAGATGTATGGGCACCTTAAGGAGGTGACTCATGAAGCGGTAAAATTATTGTCTTGGCTGTGAGTTTTCATGTCTGCATGCATGCCAGCTATGAATTTACTTGGAGTCTAGGTAATAAATTGTGTATTTCACATTATAGAAAATATTCAATATTAAAGACAAAGTTTATTTTTAAATGTTTAATCAAACAAAGGAAAATGAAAAGAATTGACCCTCCCCAAACAGTTTGAAAATGGTTAGCTGAAACCAAATTTCTTTAAAACGTATCCCATTTTCTGGTGACATGAATTCATTATAAATTAAATTCAACAGAACCCCATGCTTACAAATTCAGCAGACATACATTAGCCAAATAAAATCAGTTTGCACAGTCACCACTATGGTGATTCAAAGGTTCTAAGAATGATTGCAATGAACTATAAATATTTTACTATAATATTTAAAACCAGGAAAAAATGTCTCTCATTAGCTAAAAGTAGTTTTCACATTTTGGCGTTTTGGGCACTAAACGTATGGATGAAATCTCACAAAGTTACAACAAAACAACTTCCCTCAAGAATATATCAAAGGCTTAAGAGTCCCTTCAGCAATAAGCATTTTACCACAAGGCATGGTAGATGGTATTGCACAGCACACATTCCATGGTTTGCCGTGTGGTGCGACCTAAAATGCTGCAGCTTTAGATTTGCGATGTGTTGGCAGCCCATTCAAAATAAATGGGCTGTCTTAGTACAGCGCATGTAATATGTATGCAGTAATACAAAGCAACAAACTGCCAAGGTGTGAAGGGGCCCCTGCAATTATTTCCAATTCTCGCAATTGGAAATCATTGGACCATAAAGATAAAAAGCACTGTTAATTACACAAACTCCTGCACACTGCTAGCTCAGATCTGTTACTTGAAAGGTCTATGGTGTCTCATCAGCCTGTGTGAAAGGTTTACAATCTTATAAAAAAAATTCAGAAGCCTATGGGGAAATTCCTGACAGCTTGGGAGTTGTGAACCAGAACAAAGACACTGACCTAGCAGTAGTTAACATGCTACACTGTATCCAACATGCTACACTGTATCCAACAATCGATGTTCACTGGTTTCATAAAAATAAAATAAATGATATCAAGAAATAAAAACATCTTCTACTGATAGTAACTTAAAGAGAAAAGCTTTTTTTTTTTCCCCAGACACTTTAATAAATCAATCGCAGTGTGAAATAGAATAAACAGAGAATCCCCACAGCAATCTATTCATAACACAATGCAAAAACAGAAAAAAAACAAAAGGAAAGCTGTCAGTTAAATTTTAAAATACAACAATGGTATTTTATTTTATCAAATGTGTATTCATGTTGCAACTTTGAATTAAAAATACATTTAATGATTTACAATAGGATATAATTATAATATTGGTTAAAATATTTCTCTGTAACGAGCGTAAGGAACAAATGACTAATGCAGGAAGGGACGTTAACAAATCATCTCAAACAGAATTGTATTGGGAAGTCCCAATAGAATTTGTCAAAATGTCCAGATAAAACACTCATATTTGGAGCTTTCAGGATTGGTGGCAACATGTAAATGAATGGAAAACTTCAGTAGCTGGGTTAGAGAGGGAACCAAGGCATACAAAGGTTTACAGGAAGGCATCGCACCATTCTTTAAGGCAACCAGAGCAATCCCGTCCCTGCTTTGCATTGGCTCCACATGTATGTTTTTGACAATCCTTAAAAAGCTCTTCATCCTTCTTCAGCACGAGGAACTGACCTAATAGAACATATGACTAAAAAGAGAAAATTAGATTGTATTAGCAATAGGTGAACATTCATGAAAAGTCTAGTATATTTTCAATAAGCACATATTTACTGTATTAAGTTCTAATTAGAGTATTTATCTTATTGTTATTATATAAGCATTGAAAATACAATACATTGCCTTTAACCCTTCACCACCAGACCTTTTCCCCCAATTTATTTTGCTCACTGAAAAAAATTACACATATTTCTAAATACAGATACCCTGTAAAGAAAAGAAAAAAAAAAAGAGAAGGACGCGATATTTCTGCAACTGTTTCTCAAACCTATATTTTTCTCATTAAAATCTCACTTCTGTCCTTCATTTCTTGGAGTTTATTAAGGGACACAGGATTGAGGCAATTTGGCTATTCTGCCACCTACAGGATCATTTAGACACACAATTTTGACAAACAAAAAAAAACAGTGACCAGCCCGGTATAACCCATCCCACTCACAGCATGCTTCGGTTTTGTGTAAAAATAAAATAATAATACTATGCACAAGATCATAGGACACAGAGAGCGGAACCTTTATCCCTTAAAAGAGAACTATGGGGTAACCTTTTTATCCCATAGTTCTCTTTAGGGTCAGGGGGGAGAATCCCTGCGGGAAGCAGTGACTGACAGTCACCACTCTCTGCAGGGCAATGATCTGGAAGTGAGCGTGCGACGGTATGTGTTCGCTCACTACCTGATCTACTAGAGTCGACATGTGACAGTTTCAATTTTACACAACGGCTCTAACTATGAGAATGAGTGTAAATCACTAACCTCATAGTTATCCTTTTAAGGTACTCCAAGAAATGGATTTTACAGTAAGTACAAAAATCTAATTTTCTTGCTCGATCATTGAAGGCAACAGGATTTAGAGACAATTGGATTGTTCAAAAGTCAGCTGAGGGGTGTGAAGAAAATAAAAAATGAACACTAAAAGGCCCACAAACAGCAGAACCTGCAGCTGCCTGCAACTTAGAGCCATCTGAAGCACCTTATGCTCCAAACTGGCATCAGATGAATGAATAAATCTGGGAAACAGTTGCCTGATGCTGAAAAGCCCAAGAAGAACTCACAGACCTAGTAGAATGCACCTTAACAGTAAAGGGAGGAATCCAATACTTAAAGCAAAATTTCGGATATGATTTTGTTAACCCTTGCAGTGGGGCTACCCCCGCACTGCAAGGGTTAAGTGCTCGTTTTTGCCTAGGGTCAAAAATAAAGTTAAACTCACCTAATCTTCCGAGCTGGCTTGCTCTTAGACCAGTTGCTGGAGCCTTCCTCCCCCTCCGCTGCAGAGGTCTAAGGTCCTTGAGTCATCAAGATTTCTACACAGTGTATAGGATGTGAGAACACTGCAGTGTAAGGGAAGACAGAGAGGAGGGAGCACTGTCACAGCCAGCCGCCTAAGAGAATCGGCTAAGTATAACTTTGTTGTTTTTGATCCAAGGCAAAAATGAGCCTTTAACCCCACTGCAAGGGTTTATAGAATTTTTACCCCGGTGTTGCTCTTTAAAACCATAAGCTTGGATGATAATCTGTCTAAGCGACCTAAATATGAGCCAGAAGCTGGATCCCCTTTATGGGCACCATAAATGGGACAATGAGAGGTCAGTTTTTCCTAAGGTCTCGTTCACACCTAGGTGTATTGCATATGCGCGACCGCTGTGCGTTTTTTTACCGCGATTCGCGGTAAAAAAGTCGCGCGACAAACGCGCGTTTCCGAAGGCTACTTGGCTGTATCCCAATGGAAACGCGCAACAAAATGGCCCAAAGTAGTACATGTACCTTTTCAGGCGTGGGCCGTTTTTTGTAGCGCGTTAGGGACGGGTGGAAATACGCCAAGGTGGGAACGAGACCATTGAATACAATGGGATTTATATTTTTGAGCGTTTGTCGAGCGTAGAACGCGCTACAAAACGTTCAGGTGTGAACGAGGGCTAATGGAAGCAGAGTCTGTGAGACTCCTGAAAAATGTGGTTCTTGAAGTGCCAAGAGAACCAAATTCAGATCCCACAGTCACGGATGAATGCATAGGGGTTACATGAGCGACACTCTGAACAAAAGTCTTAATCAAGAATAGGGGGCCAACGGTCATTGAACAAGAATGCAAGATCGTGCCCTTGATGGTACTCAGGGTCAACTGTTGAATCCACTAGGATTGCAACTAATGATTATTTTCATAATCGATTAGTTGGGCGATTATTTTTGGATTAATCAGAGAATTTTTTTTAAAAATAAATACCATCCTTAACCAGTTGCCGTCCGCCCGTTGAAAAAAAACGGACGGACGGCACTGCTGCCTTCGCGCGCGCACGCAATTTTAAGGCTTTACATGTTTGGTGTCTTTTTACCCGACGTGACCCCGTCTTTTATATTTTACCAAAAAATTGGGTAATAATAAATGTTTTATCATTTAATATAGGGGAAACTGTTTTTTTTTAAATTTCGGTAATTTTTCCTTAATATAGTAACAAATTAAAACCACAGCGATGATTAAATACCACCAAAAGAAAGCTCTATCTGTCCCCAAAAAAATGGTATAAAATGTATTTCAGTACAGCGTTGGACTGTAAAAAAAGAAGGCCTTGGTCATTAAGAGGTTAAAGCCTATGGACCGTACATACATCAGAAAGCACCATCAGCATCTCACCTGCTGAGATAAAAAAAAAATCAAACACAGAATACAGGTGAAACTCGAATAATTAGAATATCGTGCAAAAGTTCATTTATTTCACTAATGCAACTTAAAAGGTGAAACTAATATAAGAGATAGACTCATTACATGCAAAGCAAGATATAAATACTATGTAATAATAATAATTTGGGGAGCCATGTCATCTGCTGGTGTTGGTCCACTGTGCGTCATTAAGTCCAGGGTCAACTGGCAGCCGTCTACCAGGAGGTTTTGGAGCACTTCATGCTTCCTTCCGCAGACGAGCTCTATGGGGATGCTGACTTCATTTTCCAGCAGGACTTGGCACCTGCACACACTGCCAAAAGCACCAAAACCTGGTTCAATGATTGTGGGATTACTGTGCTTGATTGGCCAGCAAACTCGCCTGACCTGAACCCCATAGAGAATCTATGGGGCATTGCCAAGAGAAAGATAAGAGACATGAGACCGAACAATGCAGAAGAGCTGAAGGCCGCTATTGAAGCATCCTGGTCTTCCATTACACCTCAGCAGTGCCACAGTCTGATGGCTTCCATGCCACGCCGCATTGAGGCAGTAATTGCTGCAAAAGGGGCCCAAACCAAGTACTGACTACATATGCATGCTTATACTTTTCAGAGGTCCGATATTGTTCTATGTACAATCCTTGTTTTATTGATTGCATGTAATATTCTAATTTTCTGAGATTGTGGATTTGGGGTTTTCATGAGCTGTAAGCCATAATCATCACAATTATGACAAATCACGGCTTGAACTATCTTGCTTTGCATGTAATGAGTCTAGCTCATATATTAGTTTCACCTTTTAAGTTGCATTAGTGAAATAAATTAACTTTTGCACGATATTCTAATTATTCGAGTTTCACCTGTATATCACAGCAAAAGTGCATTGTTTTTAATCAGTCTCACAAGCTTGCACTAAGAAGAATCAATTACTATGAAACAGAATATACAACCTGCAAAAAACACATTCCCCCCAAATGTATAGTTAGAAATAATAGGTACAAAACCATTTCACAATATTAGCATATACTAATATAATGATTCACATGAAGATGATCAATTAAAAATAAATCCAAATATTATACATGTGAGGGTTACCTTATCAAAGCCTTTATCTGTGAGTCTCTGGCCTAGTACATCCCCAATACCAGCAACACAGTGAACAGGCTTCTCTCCCATTGGCTCAGCCACAAAATCCCGATGCTTTTGCGATGTGGAAGACATCTTTAAAGGTTTTAAACAACTAGAAAAAAAGATTTTATACACATTATGAAAATAATAAGTAAATATAATGAATCAGTCTCCATTCAAATGCAAACTTTTTAATAGATGCGCGGGTTTGCGGCTACACAACAGTCTATTGGGGATGGAAAGTGCTGAAATCTGCCAAAAAAATGCGCTTGTAATTTTTAATTTTTTTTGGCATGTGCATATGGACGCGCACGTGTAAACAAGCCCCATAGGAATGCATTGCTTTTTATGTTTGCACGTCAACACGCCTATGTGTGAATGGAGACTTACAGTTACATAAGTGGGTGCAACACTTCCAGAACAATGTTTGCACAGAGGGCCAGATTGGAGGGGGTAATTAAATTTCTCCAAATTCACCTGGGAAAGTGGAATTACCCTTTAAGAGACCAATCCCGTCTGTGAAAGCAGTGTAATGTTTTAACCAAAGAGCTGTTTAAATCACCAGATATACGGCATACTCTCTTACTTCAGTCTCTACAATGGGAGTGCTAATCTGCGAGCCAAAAACCAGACACCCAACACAATTTTGTGTCTGCACTAAACCTCTTCTACAAGTAGTTAGAAAACATAGCTTGCACAAGATAGAAAAGGGGAAGCTCCAGCTCCATCATAGGAGCAGAATCTTTTGTTGCTCCTACACAAGATATACAATTCAAGTCCCTGCACATGTAAATAAAAGGACATTAAAGTCAAATCCCCCCCATGCTGCCTCTTGACCTGAGGCACGGTGTCTGTGTGCGTGCACGCTGCCGAGCTGCATGCATTGACTTACCCTGCGTCTCCCCTCTTCTCCCGGTCGAAGATCTCTACTGCACATGCCCCATGATTCTTCACGACCGATTGAGAATCTTCAGATGGGAGCGAGTGGCGGAGACACAGGTAAGTAATAACCTTTTTGGTAACTTTTTCATGGGGGCAATAAGAGTACAACCCTGCTCTAAGCTGGTTTGGGGAAACACTGCTTACGACATTCTGGGTTAGCAGTTTTTCTAGGCTTGATTCATAGTGGCTTTTTGTGGATGTGATGGAAACTGAGAAAGAAAATAAGCTCCAGCCTGTACCCTGACCAAACTATCTCCAGGATAAAGGGGTTGGAGTTCAACTTTTACCGCTGAGGGGACACCTTCCCTTAAAAGCGAAGACTTTCAAGTCAGCCAAGCGGACTTGTAGTTCACAATGGAGTACAAGTGTGGCGACGTCACTACACTTGTAGACCATTTACTCTTTTTCTTCTCCATGTTACTGAAAGGCCATGTTAGGAAAAGTCTGCAAGAACCACATAATTGTGGTTGCAATGCTTTACTGGCTCCAATGAAAATAATAATGAATGCACATTTGTTCTCTTATGAAGACATGTGCATTTGTTACTTTTTGTCGACAAAAAAAAGAGAGGTTAAAGAATGTCAATAGTAAGAAAATATTTAGCTTAGCATTGCCGAATTCTTCTTTGGAAAATACTAGTTGTATGGATATTACATTCGTCTAAAAGCTTCTGTGATAACCATGTTTCTTAAGGTGCCAATACACCTTTCAACCAGCTTAGCTGTAAGCTAATTAAAAGCTCGTACCATCTGCCCATCTTGGACAGGCAAATCGTACTTGCGATCATCGAAAGCCTGCCCCCCTGAGGGGCGGGCTTTCGATGACTGCAATGCTGAACGCGCAGTGTGCGCTTGCGCACACTGCCCCGTTCGGCATTTGTCTCCCGAGCATGCCACAAACCCGACAATCATACAATTCTCTGCGGGTTTTCAAACATGCTCGTTAGACAAAAGACGTGCGACCGTACAGTAGAAACGGTCACACGCCTTCCATACACCTTGCGATTATCGTACGATCGCGGGATTTCCCGCGATTATCGTACGATAGTCGCAAGGTGTATGGGCACCTTTACACAGGGGAAAGCAGATCAGGAGGTCTGCCCATGGAAGGCAAACTCTCTCAACAACTAAACGGCAAATAAAAGTATCTCAAGAGCACCTGAAAACACACAGCATAGCTTTCAGTTTAAATGAGCTAAATACATTACAGGTGCCTAAAAAGTGCACATTGTCTAAAGCTGCCCATACACTTTACAACCAACACACGACTTTCGTTGTGCGATGGTTGCAAGGTAATTAAAATTTCATATGATCTGCCCATCTTGGACATGCAGATCGTACTTGCGATCATCGCAAACCCTTCCGGCTGAGGGGAGGGCTTCCGATGATTGCAGTGCCGAGCGGGCAGTGTGCGCTTGCGCACACCGGCCCATGCGGCATTCGTCTTCCGAGCACACCACTAACCTGCCGAAAATCGGACAATTTTTCAAGCGTGCTCAGAAGACGAATGTCATGCGACCTTACAGTAGAAGAGGTTGCAAGCTGCCCATACACCTGCCGATTATCGTACGATCGCGGGATCACCCGCGATTATCGTACGACAATCGGCAGGTGTATGGGCAGCGTTACAGTTTGTTTTATTTAAAAATCAGACAGCCCAAGTAGAAAAGTCTGTCCTCTGCCACCATTCTGCAGAGTGGAACCCTTGTTCTATGTGGGGAAGCAGGTACCTCTTTGAAGAGGTCCACCAAGCCCCCTATGCAGTCAGGACTTTTCAATCAGCCAGCAGCATGAGCTTTGCCGATTGCAGGGCTATAGGTCTGACTCAGTAGGGGGCCTCTGCAATGGAACCACTACAGAAAGCAGGAGTTCCACCCTGCAACTTCAGAAAGAAAAACTGTAAGATACTGAACACCTTTTGTTTTGATGCACCTGGCATGTGTTTAGCCGATTTAAATGGAAAGTTTATTTGAACTTGGTGCCTTTAGGTACAGTGGATCACATGACAGCACTGTCACATGGGTGCAGGAAAGTCCTCAACCCTGTGGAAGAGCCAAGTGAAGTCCTCGAGGGACCCTGGAATTCTCTACACTACAAATTGTTGAAGCTGTTACTTTTATTTATTTTACAAAATATTAAAAAAAAGCCTCCTAATCTAACCTGTAACCCCCAGTGCTTGGATTCTTAGTGTTTACATGCTGCACCACACACACAGTAACTCCCTATAGATGTATATGAGGTAATCACTGAAGGGGCCACCACTGTTACAGAGAGGTAAGTAAGGTTGTCCAGACACTGTTAGAATTCAAGCTTATTCACAGGAATCAAGCAAAATTCTAACAGGGGCTGGCCCTGCCATTAATTATGCAGTTGACTTTTGTCAAAGGAGTTGGGCTGAAAATCGTCAGCAGACCAATGACTACAGCCAATCAGCTCCAGTCACTGTCTGGGCATTCAGAAAGTGGCAGGCAAGATTTATCTATCTGTGCTATTTAGTATGGATAGAAAAAGCTATTAGTGTATGACTGGCTTAATCCCTTCATGACCTTTTTTTTTATTTTTTGTTTAGATGTTATAATCCACATTTTAGGCTGAACATTACTTAAACCCCCAAACATTATATGTTCTGAAAGCCAAGACCGTATAGAATAAAATGGTTACCTGCTGCAATACCGCCCGGGCGATCACACACGATCATAGTTGAAAACACTGCGCGGTGCATGTTGTGAAAATAGGTACATCTACCTTTTTTCAGCGATTGTCACGCAGAAGTAGCCCCATACATGTGGATGCAACCGCTGTATGCAACCACACACAATCGCACGTCCCGGGAATCCCCAAGTCTGCACCAGCCCTAAAGGGTAAATTCACTTTCCCAAGTAATTTGGGAAAATGGAATTACCCGCACAAATCTCCCTCCCACTATACTTCCCTTTCGGCAAACCGTTCTTCCCGTCCACCAGTACGGGTGTACTATCTGTACCTCTTCCATGTATTCTGAATTTCGCTCGCAAATTTCAAGCACTTGTTGGTCAGCGCAGTCACCTGACAGCACTGACCAATGAGAAGCGCTTCTTAGCACCGCTAAATACGGTTTTGGTTAAAATCATTTTTTTTGTATCAGGACAAGTAGATTGTCATGAGGGACAAGTAGATTCGGCCCCCGCTTTAGTCCTTGGACAAGTAGTTTTTTCAAAAATGTCCACACCCCTGCACTCAAATGCCCCAAAACACAATAAAATACTAGGGGTGCACCGATATATCGGCCGAAAATTGCACTTTTGGCATAATGCCGAAAGTGCAATTTTCTGGGCGATACAGCGGGGCATCCATTCTTTCTCTTCTGCCCGCTGGCGCTGCTCTGTGTCCCAGCAGGAATGAGAGAAACTGTCACAGGCGGACGAGCAATGCGGGAGGAGAGCGCTGTGAGCGACCGTTGTCTCTCCTCCCTGCACCGATCAGCCTTCTGTCACAGATCAGAGGAGAGCAGTGTGGGCGGAGACAGCCAGCGCTGTCAAAGGAGGCTGCGCTCTCCTCACCGCGTCGCTTGCTCAGCCTCCTGTGACAGCTGTCAGGATTGAAAGCGGGTATAAGCAGTCAGTGATCGCTGAGTGTTTGTACATAATTGAGGACATAGTATGTTTACTATATCCTCTATATAAAAAGTTTATAAAAAAATAAATGAAATATAAAAAAATGTTTTAAAAAGTTAAAATAAAAAAACATTTTCGGTTATGGCCTGACATTTTTTTTTTAATTTCTGTTTCGTTTCAGTTTTGAAATTTTCATTAAGGTGCACCTCTATAAAATACCAATTTTTTAAAGAATAAAATATAAAAGATGAAGTAAATAGATACCCAACATGCCCAGGTTAAAAAATTGTGTGCGTCCGTGAAACTGCGACAAAATTCAGTACCCCAAAAAGTCCATAGACGACGGCTTAAAAGCCCCCACAGGCCATTCGTTTAGAGATGCGCATAAATATTGGCCCTAGAATTGTTGCTCTAGCACTGGCATGCGCGGCGATGCCCAACGCATGTAGCGCAATTGTCGTTTTCATATGTAGGCGCACCCAATGCATGTTTACGTGAAGACGCTAGTGCTCACAGGGGCAAGGGACTTTAAACATTTTTAAAATTATTTTTACATTCATTTTAAAAACTGTTTTTTTTTGTAACTTTACTTTAATTGCTATCACATAGGGGGCTTACAAGTCTCCCATGTGATAGCATATTGGCAGTGGCAGGTACTCTTTAAGGTGATACTGGGGGTCCAAAAGACCCTTAGCATCACCGTTACACTTGAAATAAGCTATTGAAGTGCAGATCACACTTCAATAGCTTATTGATGTGCTTCAGGAGCCCAGCAATGACAGCTATGGGACCGGAATTGATGTAATCTGCCTCGCTCTCGGTCGCATAATACGGGGAGGTGATCGGAGGTTCGCCAATCTCCTCCCCAGCTTCCCCCCTACACCAGAGAAGCCGGTCCCGGGCCCATAGGAGGGGAAGCGGAGCCTGGGAAAATTGGCGGGGGTGTCAGACGAGGGCCACCTTTACCAGCCCGTAGAAGCAATCTGGCAGCAGCTGAGCAGTCAGAATAACTTCTACTGTAAAGCCGACAGTTGGCAGTATAATTTTAAACAGAGTCCCGGCAGCAAAAGCCACTGGGAGTCTGTTTAAACGGGCCGGTGCCAGTGATGTACACTGTACGTCACTGGTCATGAAGGGGTTAAAAGGAGAACTATGAGTAGTGATTTTCACGCATCCTTGTATTTAGAGCCGATGTGCGACAATGAAACTGTCACATGTCGGTTCTATTGATCGGGAAGTGAGCGAACACATACCATCGCTCGTTCACTTTCCGATCATCTCCCTGCAGAGAGAGGTTACTGTCAAACACCGCTCCCCGCAGGGATTTCCCTCCCTCCAATTCTCCAGCGCTGAATGGAGGAATGGACAGGGAAGGGGCAGGCACAGCTGGCTCTGCCTGTAGATAGGCAGAGCCGGTTGTCAATCAGCTAGCTGGGTGGATCTCGACAGTATTGTCAGGATCCTCCCAGCTGCAGCACTTTCAGTATATAGAGAGCTCTAGCTTGCTATATACTGAGCTTTGCATCACAGGAGGAGGTTAGTATATGTGTGCCCCCCGCGACCCTGAAGAGAAATATGGGATAAAAAGTTTACCCCATAGTTGTCTTTTAAAGAATAACTATCTTTATTGTCAATCCATATTTAGGGTGAAACATGGTCACATAAACAAGCTCCTGCCCCTTACCAGAATCCTACAGTTCTTCTGCCCCCAGGATTCTGTATAATATTCTATATATAGTAAACTATGTTATCTGGGATTGAACTAACTAGAACTCTCATCTAAAACAGAAAAAAAAAATCCTGTGTACTTATTGTTCTGCAGCATGTATTATCCTGGAAACGATCCCGTGCCTATTTGTCTTAATTTGCTTTTGATTACTGCATTTCAATATTAACCACCTGCTGTCCGGCCGTTGTAATTAAACAGCCGGACATCGGCTTCTTGAATGCGGGTGAGTGTTTTTAAACGTCCCATCCCGCCCCGCCCGAGCGGGAAGTCAACCTGGAATGTAAACAGCCAGCGATGGCTGTTTAAATACAAGTGTTCGGGAGTATGTAGAGACGCCCGATCGCTTGTAATATGCGTGCGGGTGTGCGCCCCTCCTCCGTTGCAGCCGCTGCTGGCGATCCCGAGCTCCACTGTGCCCGGTGTGAGCCTGGAACCAGCACAGCAGCTCTGCGGCCGGAGATCAAACGGAGCTAGGTACACGAGCTCTGTTTGATCTCCTCCTCCTCGTCGGAATGCAGGCAGTGATGTGCATCACATCACTTCCGCATTCCTGTGTCACTCTCAGGTACAGAAACCGGAGAGAAGCTGGTGAAGCAGGTGTTTGCTTCATCAGCTTCTCTGGGGGTCCCTAGGTGACATTAGGGGTCTTAAAGACCCCTGATGTCTCCATAAAGAGGACCTGCCACTGAAAATTGGCTATCACAAAGGGGGCTTGTTAGTCCCCTATGTGAGAGCAATAAAGTTAAGTGGAAAAAAAAAGGTTTAACCCCTTCATGACTGAGGCCCTTTTTTCAATTTTTGCACCCATGTTATATTCCACATTTTAGGCCTGAAAGTGACGTAAAACCCCCCAACATTATATATTTTCTGAATGCCAAGACCCTATAGAATAAAATGGTGGTAGTTGAAAATTTTTATGTTGCGCAATATTAGCGCAACTCCTTATTAAACCCCAAAATTTAGTGACAAATTTAATTAAATGCCCCAAAACACAACAAATTACCCATTTTTTAAATGAAATATAAAAGATGAGGTTACAACGAGTAAAACGATACCCAACATGCCCAGTTTACAGATTGCGTGCGACCGTGAAACGGCGAAAAACTGCAGTACCCCAAAAAGTCAATAAAAGACACTTTAAAAGCCCCCACAGGTCATCAATTTAGAAATACCCCAAAATACTGGCCCTAGGATTATTGCTCTCACTCCGGCATGCGCGGCGATACCCAACATTTTTTGGGCGGTGGATTTTGCCTCGAAACCCCTGGGTGAGGAGGTTCTAAGTTTAACAAGGTTATAAGCCGAGTTTTCGGTATTTGGCTCTCCGGGTTTGCTCAAAGCAAACGGCGCCTGCTTGTTTTTGTAACATGACTTTTAAACGTGCTGCCTTCTAGTGGACAATCCATCTAAATGTCCTGTCATTCAACAGGTTTAGGTTGCAGCATATTGGACAATAATGATATAGTCTGCAGCAAAGTAAACTGTTTACAAAATCCGCCAGAACGTGCAGTTCCTCAACTGCAGGGGAACTCATGACAGCGCCTTAAATCACTGAAAGTCATCAAATCCTTGAACACGTCCCAAATGACATATCTGCAACAAAGGCGACTATATTTTCTCTCTTATTGTATTTAAACCACCTACAAAACGTTCACTGACCTTTATGTCTGAGTTAATACCTTCCCGCCAAGCCTCTTCACGGCAAGAAAAACTGTTTCCGGCTGGGACCTACGGAAAACCCCTTCCACTTCCTGTGCAAAGAGATTACGGAAGTTGACTGTACCCACGTGGGCAGCCTAACTTGTTATAGACTCGTGAGTGAAGTCACCGGAAGGCTCCCATCCCATAGTCTTGTCTGGGTAGATACAAGGGGCGGCCATCTTTGTACTCCAGAGACCAAGCTAGAGGTGGACGGTGCTGTGGGCAGAGAGTGACAGGTTCAGTACACGTGTATCTATTTCATTAGCATTAGTGTATATAAAATATGAAGTAGCTTCTCTTTCTTTTTACATTCTTAACAGGGCATATTCGTTTATCATAAATTTGCAATTTGATAAAAAGTTTAGTTGTAGTGAACGTCATTATTCACATAAGAATACTTGACAGTAAACATGTCGTTAGAAATGTACAGGTACTGCCAGAGCTTTCTTTTCTGAAAAATACTAGTTGCCTGTCATACTTACCTGATTGAATAAGTGTGCACCTACCTCCCAACTATCCTGTGATTTGAAACAACCCTTGATAGTCACACTGATCCACCCCATGTCCTGGAGCTGGAATGCTTGTTCTAGTGCCAGTAGCTGACCGGTTCAAGTGTAGGAAAGTGGGGAAAACCTATCTGGGATAGACTTCTCTTCCTCTAAGGTGCCTTTTTTTAGCCAGCCAGCAGAATGTGGGTATGATAAGCAGATGTTTAGTGGCCAGAATTCCACGGTGGTCATAATCGCATCTGAATGTTAGTTTTGCGTAAATTGTTGGCACTATATCAATACCTGTATTAAATGAATGTATCCCATTGCACTCCAGACCGGAATCCCAAGCATGTGAGAAGGTAGTCACCCACACACCAAGGTCCAATACATCGATGCCGCTTTATTTGATGTCAGATATACATGGTATCACATGGGAAAGCAACCTGCAGGGGGCCCTTCATCTGGCAAAATATAGTGACCATGTTGCTACCATATAACGTACAGATATATTGGGCCTTGGTGTGCAGGTGATACAAGTATTCAAAAAATCAAGCACTCAATATATCCCAAACAGTTCAAATCCCAATTTTTTACGCCACTTAGCTCCCAGGCAATTTGTTCGCCAAGCCCTGTGTGAGCCTTCTCTACTTTTCCACAGTGGTCAGACATAGAGCTGGTTGCATTGCTTGTGTTTGCTGAGACAGCAAAGGGCAAGAATCCCAATACCAGGTAAGTGAAAGAGGACAAAATTCCAGCAGCCTTTGTCTTGGATAAAAATAACAATGTGTGTGTTGAACTGGCATTGTGCTGATAGCTGTACAGGAGTGGCTAAAATGCCACAGCTGTCTTGTGCCTTCAGGTTGTTCCTCTTTCTAAAGTAGGAAATAAAGATCAGGCTTCCTAGGCCAGCTTGGGCTCAGAACTTAGAATAGATTTGTTCACACACCCAAGTATATGAGCAAATTGGCAGCTGAATAAGAAAACAGAAGAAGTCATACCAATGTGTATTTTCTGGCACATTTTGCTAAGGACTGCCTCTCCCTGCCCAATTAGTGGCAGTAATTGCGACAGGGGCATTATCGGCCCCCTTGTTACGTAAAGCTGCAGGGTAGGTAATGTGCATCTCTGCAACTAGTTGAGCTGGGGGGTTGTTATGCTGTGCTTTATGTTACGTACTCCTGCCTGACTAGTGATGAGCATGGGCTTGGTGCGAACCCAGTTCACCTGAGTTTGCACAAACCTGATCTAAATTGGGACTGCAAACCCCCCAGCCCAAACAGTGATGGCAGGGGCATTCTCAGCCCCTTTGTAACTTATAAGTGCAGGACGGGGAATGTGTCTACTATAATTGATTGGGCCAGTGGGAGGGGGGTTGTTGGGTGTTGGTCACAGCTTTGAGAGAGCTAGGTGTGAACCCTGTTTGCCCACGCCTGCTCAAAACTGTGAGTGCCATTCCCCACACCCAGTCCAATCAGTTGCGGCAGTTGTGGATGCTTGAAACAACATATTGAAGGTAAAGGGTCAGCGTAATAGATAACTATTTGTCTCCTAATTTTTCGGATAGAACACTCGTATCATGTATTATATGGTTCTCTTTCATGACCCGCACTGGCTGGCATTAAACATTATTTACAAGCTTGACCGTAAAATATTTGCTGTATGGCATCCTTGTTTATTGCTGGTGCTCTGAACATTATATCCCTTTTTTGCTTAGGTTAAACCCACTGGAACTTTGAAGACTGTGTGTTTTTACATGTCCACAAAACCATATGAACACATAAAGCCTGCTACTTCAAATTCTAAAACATGTCAAAAGCAACCAAACGAAAACATGTAGTGAAAGAGGTTTTACTGGAATATGTTCAGCCTACAGAGAATCAGCGCATAGTGAAGGTCAGTATCGTGTGCATGGTTTGTATCTTCTGTCAACAGTGTTTCTAGCTGTTTTCTCTACATATCATTTGATTGTACACCTGTTGGAGAGAAGATCACTGGACTAGTGAGGAAGGTAAGTATTATCCCAGGTAGTTTGTATGCAGGTAGGTTGGGAGGATTTATTAAAAAACAACTTCACTAAAGGTGAAGTTGTTCTTTAAGGCTTCTATGAAACGTTTGTCGGGTACTGCAGTTTTTCAGGTCCCTTCTCTTTTCAGGTTGGAAAGAATGGACGTATCCTAGTAAGCTTCTTTTGAGGAACACAAGCAGCAAAAGACTAGATCTTATTTGCTTGCTTCTAGATGGTATGATTCATAAGTTGCTAATTGCATAAGTTACATAAAGCCAGACATTCTCTTTGTAAATCTGGATGAGTTGCCTTCTGGAGCTTTTCAGATGCACATACATATTAAAGTGTATCTGAACTCAAGAATAAAAATGTAATATATTGCAGCTTATGAGTCCTTAGATGTGGTAGTTGACATAGTGTTTCTCCAATTAGTGTGGCTCCTCTTTCTACAGGAAACACAATTAAGAAAGCAGTTAAATACCCTCCCACCCCTCGTCCCTCAGTTTTTTTGTGTTTACTACCGTCCAGGAAGCTTTGTCACATTTGTTTCTTTGCCTGACCAGTCGGCCTTGTGGTCGCAGGTCCCCCCTCTGTGCAGCTCTGTTTTCAGGCTGTACTGTGTCTGCGGCCTTGCTGTTGGTACGGAGGGTTTCCCCTGTATTTCCAGGTTTTTCTTCCTCCATTTTTTGCCCGAGGAGGAAGAGACCTGAAGCCCTAGTCAGTTGTGACATGACATGAGGTACCAGAGCTGCCGCTGCGTTGAGGCACGTCCCACTGGTAAGCTATAAACCATGCGTAAAAACTTAAATGAAACCCAATGGATCAACCTCATAAGAGGGAATGAGTTAACAGTCCTCTTTTGTCAAGGAAACAAGTCAATAGAAGATTATAGTTGAAACCCCTGGGTTGTACACAGTCAACATGTGTCGAACTCAAGGCCTAGGGGCCTGAAGCTACATGAAGCAAGCCGATGTACGGCTGATTTCAGCCGATGTACGGCTGAAATTAGCCGTACCAGCCTGAAGTGAATAGCCGAACAGTGTTCGGCTCACTTCAGATCGGTCTTTCACTTGGCTGCCCTCGGCAGCTTGGTGAATAGACCCCATAGTCTCACAGATACCTTTGAGGGAAATCATAATGTTGATGCGGCCCACAATTAAATTGAGCTTGACACCCCTGGTCTGGGGTTTAGATCCAAAAAGCCTCTCTCCGGAGCAGTTGTTTGGACCTATCACCGCCCCTGGGGTGTGCATGTATTTGCTCAATAATCATGCCTTTTAAGCTCGTGTGTTTGATGTTGCTTCACGGCAAAGTGCAGTGCTACCGGTTTATTGATATCTAGGTCTTCGCCTCTCTGATGTTTGGCAATTGCTATGCGGATGCCACTCCTGTGTTTTTGGAAGCGACACTTAAAAGGAACCATTGTTTTGCCCACATATACTGATGAGCAAGGTCATTTTAAAAGGTATACACAGAATTCTGAATCACAAGTATAGAAACCTTGGCTCAGATAATAGAATTGCAAACATTGCAATGATGGGATCTGTGACAGCCTAATTTTTTTGAAAAGGCAAACTTTTTTTGTTATATTTGGACCTTGGGTCTGCCTGTACCAATAGGTTCCTAAGTGCACTGTTCTGTTTTTGTACACGTAGAGGTTTTTTGTTAACAATTGGGGCTAGGGATGTACCGACACTAGTATCGGTATCTGGGCCGATACAGGGCATTTTCACGAGTACTTGTGAAAATGCCCCCCATACTGAAGGCTGTTACTGGCCCTTTACATTTTTTAATCGGATTGGCCGCCTCAGGTTACGCGCTTGTGGGGTCCTGAGGCAGCCTTCCAGGTACCTGGCACTAGCTGTCTTTGACGCTGCCTGCCAGGTTCCACGTCTCCTCTTGATTGCTGGTGCAGGCACTGCTCGAGGCAGCCCCACTTCATGAATACAGCCATCTGGAGGCAGCCCTGGCGGGATCTGGACGCAGCCTGGTGGGATCTGGACTACATATGTCACCAGGCTGCATACAGATTCTGTACACAGCTTTGGTGGGATCTGGAGTCCAGATGTCACTAGGCTGTGCACAGATTCTGGACGTAGCCCTGGTGAGATCTGGACTACATATCTCACCAGGCTGCGTACAGATTCTGAACGCAGCTTTGGTGAGATTTGTATACAGCCTGTTGGGATCTGGATTCCAGATGTCACCAGGCTGCGTCCAGATTCTGAACGCAGCCTGGTGAGATCTGTATTTAGCTCTGGTGAGATCTCTATTCCGCCCTGGCGAACATCTGTATGCAGCCTAGTAGAGCTGCAGCTAACGATTATTTTCAAAATCGATTAGTTAGCCGATTATTAAGTTCGATTAATCGGATAAAAAAAATGTAAAAATAAAATACATTTTAAAAATGGCTCCAGTGATGGACTACTAGTTTGTATTGAGATTGTAGTCCATCACAGGAGCAAGCTTGGAGCGGTGGAAGTAAAAAAGAAAAAAAGTGTGGTGTGCAATATAGTGAAATGAAAAGTGTAAAATTATACAGCAATGAATGCAGAACGGCACAGGCTATAGAGGACTACAAAACCCAGCAATACATTATACAGCGCAATGTGGAATACCTCCAGCTATAGAGGACTACAACACCCAGCAATAGTACATTATAGCTGGCGGTATTCTGCATTGCGCTGCATAATGTACTATTGCTGGGATTTGTAGTCCTCTATACAGCGCAATGTAGAATACCACCAGCTACAGAGGAGTACAACAAATCCCAGCAATAATACATTATACAGTGCAATACCACCAGCTATAGAGGAGTACAACAAATCCCAGCAAAACATTATACATACAGTGTCAGTATCAGAGCAGATCCACATCATGTGTAGAAATTGTGAAATCGGCAAATTATCCTTGAGATGTTGGGGGTGGGCACTTTGATAATGTAGTAGGTTGTTTCTATGTGTGGGTTTGGAATAGACAGATGTATTGAATCTATTGTTACCTATGGTAACCCATACATCAAGGAAGGAGATTTCATGTATAGAAATCGTAGGGTTAAAAATAATCCCAGGAAACAACCCATTCAGAAACCCCACAAACTCATCAGATTTGAATGTTGCCATCCCATATCAAGAAAGTATCATCTATGCATGGCTGCGACTGTATCCAGGTCCAAAGGTGTGGTGAGTTCCCCTGCCCAGTGCAGTGTTGAGGTAGAATTACTGGAGGTGGACTTATTGGGCCTTGACCATGCATTTTTGTTTTTTGTATTGCCTAGGATTCTTCTCCAGAGAAAATTACACTCCAGGGTTCTGTTCCACCTAATGCCCCAGCTGCCAAACAAAATAGAAAGTGCTGAGGTAACTGTAATATTAAGCTCCCCGCTGCATATGCTAAACCCTTTTGTGATCTATTGATCTATCTATATAAATTGTTAGCTACTGAATCTTCTACCCTAATGAGAGGTTTCTTTGATTTCTATGAGGACTGAAATGGTGGCAACTATGTAGTCATTAAGAATGTTATTTCTGAAATTTTTCTTCTACTCCTTCTGGAGTTCCTTCGGGGTTATAGGTTAAATCTGCTCCATTATTTAGGGAGTTAAAGAGGTGCAGAGGAAAGACTAGGCTTCAGGATCCTGTTCAGATGGTTCCTTAGAGGAATGGGAGACCTTGGATGAGGAGGAGAGTTCCCAAAACCTCACGTCATCTGTTTCCACTAGAACATATGGTTTTCATTATTGCAAGCCATATATGCTACGGAACAGATCCCAGACCCACCTAGGGCAGTGTCAGTTCAAGACCGTCTTTATAGCGGGCTGGTAGAAGCACAGGGTAGGTGTTTTCCAGTTCACCAATCTCTTAAAGAGCTGGTGGAAGTAGAATGGAAAGAGCCAGAAAGAAGATCCTTGGGGTTCAGACCCTGGAAGAGGAGATTCCCCTTTGCTAAGGAAGGGAAATATTTCAAGTGTCCTAGACTTGATGCAGCTTTGGCGCAATTCTCTCTAAAAAAAGCTGATCTATCTTATGAGGACACAGGAAATATTAAGGATCAGATGGATCGTAAGGCAGAAGTGTTCCTGCATAGGGCATAGGATTCAAATGCTGCCTCCATGACTCTAGCAGTAGCAGCCACATGTGTACCACGCAATATGGACCTTTGGATGGAACATACTTCCTTACACATTTCTCAGGGGGCTCTGGCAGAACAAGTTTTAGAATCCTTGTCAGTTTTTGGAAAAGCTTCTGCAGAGATTGTTAGGGTCACAGCCAGGTCTGGGGCTCAACTAAATTCTGCCGGGTGGGCTATCTGGCTAAAATCCAGACTTTGTTCTATTCTTTTTGAAGGAGGTTTATTGTTTGGGTCTGGGCTGGATGAGGTATTGACCAGATCCTCCAAGAAAGGGCAGAAGTTCCCAGAGAAAAATAAAAGGGTATGTAATATACGTGAGGAGAGGAGGGTCTTTTAAGCAGATTAAGTGACGTGTTTCCTGTGTGTGGGGGAGGAGATTCCATCTCGTGATGCTGTCCTGGAAGACTAATGGAAATAGAGTTACCGGTAAGTCCTAACTCTGAATTTTTTTGTCCCCCACAGGAGCAAAAGAGCAGACCAATAAACCCTAGTTTCAAAAAAGAGGCTGGCCCTTTTACTAAGAACAAGCCCAGAGGAGGAATGTTGTTTTTCGGCTCCTGAGGCCGCAAACAAAGATTCTAAGTGATGCCATCAGAAAAGTGGGAGGAAGGCTTACCCTATTTGTATCTAGCCGAGAAAAGATCTCAGTCAATTTGTTTTAGATCTGTTCGAGGGGCTACCATCTAGAATTTCTGACCTAACCTCCACAAACTTTTTTTTTTTTTTTTTTTCTTATGAGATTTGCAAGAGATTGGGT